ATTAAGACTCATTTTAATGCCTGGTTGGCGTATCGGTGGGGAGGAGGCACACCTATGTAGTTGTGCATAACGGAAGGAGTTAAATGTCTGTAAGGGAGCTATATTCGGGAGCCCTTCAGTTAGTCTTTGCTCAGACCTCAACACGTTTTTACTTGTGCCATTACAAAGAGAACCTATACGATTTGCATATCAGACTGATCTCACGTATAAGGGCTGTCCGGAACCTGAAATGCAAGCAGGTTCTCTCTGCATGAGATATACAGCAACCCCGAACGATGTATGCTAGTTTTTCAAAGCAATTAGTGATTTTAGTAATGTTATGGTACCATATATTTTGGATGCATTGTTGACCATCCTATAGAACTCAATTAAACAATGAGCTGGTTGGGAAAATAATGTAAGTGAATGGTTTCTGTTAAAGTGACTGCAAATTGAAATCCATAACTCATTACGACTCCTGTAATAATGAACACCAAGTCACTGCTCTATATTGTCACAGAGCTTTGTCAAGACCCCAGGGTAAATTCAAAGAACATTATATGGAGTTGGAAATCTATGAATTGTATTCCAACATATGTGCCACTTATGTTTCTATATAATAAAGGAACACTATAGTCATCTAGACCACTATATCTCAATGAAGTGGTCTGGGTGAAGTGTCTGTCCTGTTAACCCTGCAATGTAAAACAGTGCAGTTTTTAAGCAATGTTTATATAGCAGGGTTAAGTCCACCTCTTGTGGCTGTCAGTGCTTCTACTGCACTGATTGAGTAAAACTCGGTTTTGTGATGTGGTTGGCCCGTAGGAAAGAAGTATCCAAATCCACATGTAGTGTTGCACTCAGGGGGCCCAATAGAGTTTGCTACCACGCATGGAACACCATGGAAGGGATCCACAGTCCCTTAGAAACTAGACAAAAAACTATATATATATATATACCTGTGCTGTAAGTGACTATATTTGTTGTTTTTTTTTGTCTAGTACTCTGTAGAAATGACTAAAGCTTGATGACAAAACATTGTTTATAGTTTTGTTTTCCTGATTCTAAATAACACTCCTTCCTATCGGCACTACTCTGTGAAGCCTTTGGAATTTGATTTTGATGCCTTGTAGGAAAGCACTGATTCAATGCTTTCCTATGGGTACATTTTAATTTGCATGCTGCCCTTGCTGCGCATGCACAATAGGTCCCCAAACACACCTGTATGAGGATGATTGGACATATGCAGATGAGGCCACACCTCCTCCATGACATCAAGGGAGGCAAAGAGGTAAGCAGCGCCAAGGGAGCTCTAGTGCTGGAAAAAGGTAAGTAAACCTTTATTAATACATTTTTACTGCACAGAGTGGGGCGGCCTGGAAAAGAGTAGGGACTGGGACACTATATATACAGATTTGTATTCCTAATGCTAGTGTCCCTTTAAGTAGACTCATTCCTCCATGTTCTGTACATTAGAATTTCCTATAATTTTAGATTATATAAAGAAAACATTTGGAAATGTAGAACATGCAACATGCCTTAGTTTATGTTTAGTGTCTGAAGAGTCGTGAAAGTTACAGCAGACTGGGGACTGCAATGTTTTTACCCTCGTCTGTGGATTTTCTGGTCACTAATCAGAATACACCTTTGTTTTCAAATAGGTCAGTTGAAATGCAGTTTTTGCAAGGGTCATTTAACTTTTCTCCTGACTCTTCCATCGACATTTCTGTAAAATGCAGGGATTACTACAACAGGGAAATATCTAACAAGCAGGTCCCAATAGTCATACATTTTTAAACTGGTCTCATTTCGCTAAGTCATATTTTACTTCTTTATATGCACTAAAAGGCTTTAATAGATGTCTAGCCCTTAAAAAACCTACAACATTTCAAATTAGTAAAAGGTTCTTGATATTGATATTAGGGCTGTTGCTAGGCTCCATCAAGGCCCTGGAATTGGTCCTTCACAAATTCTACCCATTAACATCTGCAATATATGAGTCTTGACACACTTGGATACATACACAAAGACACATACAGAAAAACACAAATACACACACGCTCACGGATGCATTCATAGAAGATGAACATAAACACACACAAACATAGGAATCAGACAAACACACATAGACCGTGTCACACAAACACAGGCACATAAGGGCACAGACACACACAGACTGACTACACAGGCACAGGCATACAAAGTAACACACCGGACACCTTGTTAGTGGATAAGGGCAATGGCCACAGCTTTATTAAGTTTTAATCTTTAACATTATCCAAAAACTCTGTCAGTTGTTGAGCAGATGCCCAATAGACAGTTCTCTAACCTTTTTTCCAAGAGCCTAACAGCCACCAGCTCCCGTGCAGGCTGTCATCTCCCCAAAGCGACTCTTCGTCTTATCCTTTTTCCCCTTTGCGCTGTCCAGGATACCGCCACCGCAATGCACCTCTCGCGCACCCTATGCTGTGCCGGCATTGTGCTTCCTGACGACAGTGCAGCCTCAATCACTGACTGGAGTCCCACATTAAATATGTTCAATCCTAATGGTGACAGGTGCACCCCATCCGCTCGCATGACATTAGAGTTGTACCCTTCCAATTCAAAGTGGCGAATCACCACTCCCCCCATGCGGTGATTGAATCATCATGTTTACTTTCCTCCTACAACGTTCTAAACCTTCCCTATTCGATCTCGCCCGTCATACTGGGCGAGGGATGATTTCTGACCACACTAGAGTCAAATCCTTAAAGAGAATGAAACAGCGCACCATATTTTGTTTTATAGCCGGGATCAGATCGACCGTTGCCTGCGACTCAATTGCACACATTTCGCATACATCTAATCCCAGCATAACCCCCTTAAATCCCTCCAACGTACCCAAACTGACTCATAGGGAAAACCCAAGTTACGACCATACGCTGGAACTTTAGGTACTCCCGGACAAGATGGACCAGGCAATAGAAGTCCCCCAAGACTCCGATACAAACCCGAGCTCCCACACCTGTTTGGTCCGTCTTCAACCTGCGAATCAAGAGAACTATACCTGAGGCAGCCAGAGACAAATCCTCCCGCCTCAAAGGGAGACTGCACTAACGCACAGTGAAACACCAATTCCCCAATCCACAGCACGACAAAGAAGCACAACAAAAATACCACCCAAAACAGCTGTGCCTCGTAGGAAGAAGAACACACCTGTGACAGGAAAGACAACAGCCTTAGCAACACCTCGCAGGAGATCGGCCGCTGCTCACTGTGGCTTCCGACACCGTAGCAACCTTTTTACTACCCGAGTCACGCAAAATTACTTCGACACATCCTCCCAACCGAACCATTGACACAAAAAGGACAGAGTGGACAAGTGATGACTCGCAACTGACACTGTCTTACCTGCCACACATAACGACTCCAAGAGCTCCAAAGTAGCACTCAACCTACCAGCCGCTGACGACAGACACCAACGCCGCCATACCGCCGTGTAGGACCTCCAGGACGACTCCGAGACAGATCCTCTGACCAACCACCTCACATATCTGAAGTTAGGTCCCACAACTCTTGCGGGCCAAGCTCTCCCATCTGCGTCACCTCCGGGGCCACCTTCCGAAATCAAGAAAAAGAGTCGGCGATGACATTCAACAAGCCTGGGATGTGGCGTGCTACCATCCAAACATTATAGTGCAGACTGAGCAGCACTAATCGCCTAAGCAGCTCTAATACCGGAGGCGACGCAGACGTGGACCGATCAATCACATGGGCAACCACCATGTTATCTGTGTGAACCACCAGCTCCACTGCCACAACAATGGGAAAGAGCTTGAGGAACGTAAGATTGGCAATCAACTCACTGTCCTGCCACTGACGCGGCCACGCTTCCGCACACCAACGCCTGTGAAAGTACGCGCCAAACCCCACTGAACTAGATGCGTCCGTGAACAAATTCCGTATTCGACACAGCAGAACGCAACCAACACGACTGCCCAATATACGTACTGAGAAAGGAACTCCACATCCGAAGATCATCCCGCAGTCGTCCAGTAATCCGTATAAAGTGGAACGGCCGACGCCAAGGACAAACGCCAGCAGAACGCCCGCCCCATAGATAGCACCTGGCACGTAAAATTGCGGTGACCCTACAGCACCTGCAACTGCCGCAATTGAACTTTCTTGGCACCCTTCACATATCAACCAATTGGAGAAATTGCTCCAACTTATCCACCTACAATCAATCTCTATCCCCAGGTAAGACAGGATTGGCCCCACCATTTTTCCTCCACTAGGGGAACCCCGAACTCTGACGCAACCCTCCTAAAGGACTCCAAGAGAATGACACATGCATCCGATCCCTTAGCGCCGACTAACAAAAAATTGTTCAGATAGTGAGTAACGGATGAGCAGGCAGAGACCTGCACCACAACCCATTCAAGAAACGAAGCAAATATCTCAAAGAAAAAACAGGAAATCGCACAACCCATGGGCAGACACATAAAAGAAAGAACCAACAGAACTGACAACCTAATAAATGGAAACAGTCCGGATGAACCGAAAGCAGCCGCAAAGTGGACTCAATATCTGACTTAGCCAGCAGAGCCCCAGCCCCGGCCTCCCTAACCAATTCGAGGGCCTTGTCAAAAGAGGCGTACTGATCTCGAGACACCTCTTTATCAATATCATCATTCACCGCCGGGTAGGACAGGTGGTGAAAGAGACGAAATGCCCCCGGGTCCTTTTTGGGCATGGAAGGGCGGCACTTTTTTTTGCAAATTACCCAAAAGTAAAGGGGAAATCTGAATAAACAGAATCCAAAATCCTAAGGAAAAACCCTCCAACTAAATTTTAGCTGCCCACCGGTTAGGATACCGGTCGAACCACGGACGCATCCTTACCACGCTCACCGGTGTCCTCCATCCTAGGAACTTCGTCTCTGACCAAATGCCTGCCCTACTGACGTCCTGTACATGCCTGGCATTCTGACGTTGACTTCCGGTGCACGCACGCCATGCGTCCTGCCGAAAAAGACGCTCATGGACTGCAAGATTCTTCTGGCGAGCCCTCTGCCATTGCTCGGATTGTCATCTTGGGCCTCACCCAAGCCACCTAATCCAGACCGTCTCCTGCGCCCCACCGACACCGCTGGCGATGCTTCAGCCCCAGATCCGCCGCCGGTGACTCCCCGGCTCTGCTGCCGCCTTCGACCACCCTGCCTCACCAGATTGGGGGATAAGCGCAACGGAGGCCTGGCCCTCCGCCCGCCTGAAACCACAACGCCATCCACCACAGCTCCCGCTGCTGTCTTCGAAGTTGTCTCCACTCCAGACATCAGGGCCACTAGCGCCCCCGGCCCATGGGATGCCTGGTAGTGTCCAAGATACAGGGTAAGGTAGCCATCGTGTAAGAGGTGTCACAAGTGGTCCAGGGAAGCCTTTTTTTTTTAAACTTTGTCTTTTTATTTTCAGCCTTCCAGGAGAGTTGATAGGCCACAAAGTCAGTCTGGTCCTGTCCCCTGCCTCTGCTGACTGGTAAGTCTCCTTCCCTAGCATCTTACAAAAACATATTTTGGAACATTAGTATTCATTTTTAATCGAGCCCACGAGGTATGGGAAGCAGTCATGCTCCCCCTTCCCAAGTTGTCCAGGGGGAAACGGTTATATTTTCAGTTTGGCTACTCTGACCTTACATTTGAAATTCACTTCTCACATTAGTAAATAACCCTGTTTTGATAAATTACTCCCATTATTTCTGTTTGTCCAACTCCACATACTATATTTAATGACAGAAATGGCCAGTGCTTAGAACAATGATTGACAGGGAGCCAAGATGGAAGTCCTCTGTTCCAGGATATTTGTGTGGATTTATACTTTTCATTTTATTTTTCAGACCTCAGAATACACAAATTTGTTAAGTATATATGACAGGTAAACACAATATTAAAGATACTGAGAAGAGACAGTTCCCCTTTAAGCACCTTACGCAAGTAAAAGTTTATTTTTAACTTAGTGTTCCAGACTCTCAATATCAATTTCTACTTCTAATTTTTTTTGGTACTTTTTATGAAAATGTTCAATAAAAAGGATTTACAAAAAAAAAAAGATAGTCCTCGATTAGTGCTGAGTGAAATATTTTTACAAACTCACAAGCTAGTTTGGCTTCGATTTTATAAGCCATTTGACAGCTTTGAAGAAAACATTGTTTGTTGAATAATCCCTGAATTTTCAACGTGGCTGTGCTGTATTTGTTGAAATGTGTCTGAAATTCTAGGTATGGAGAGCTGAGGAGAGCTTATTGCTGCCTTAGAAGTGGCTATGAAACAGACAAGAGATGAATAAATGTAAATAAAATAAATAATTTCCATCTCAGAGGAGCAATGTGTTTTATTGGCTTTCGGGTTTATCAAACCAGCTTGATTGGCAAATCTGCCCGGACGGCACCTCTCGGCTGACTGCACATTCAAACAGTAAAAAATAGCAGACATTCTAAAGTTCATTTCAGGTCACAGTTTGCAAATCAAGGCATTTACAGATATCACAGTTAAGTACACAAAATTTAGAGCATTAAAACCAATTACAGTATAAAGTTAATATAAGAATATTGTAACATTAACAAAAACTTTCTATTAGTTAACAGATCATTAGAACATATTATAGAGTTGTTATTTTTCTGTTATTTAATTTAATTATTATTAAAATTCAGTGCTGGTTTCATAGACCTGGAGCTGAAATGTACGAGGATATAAAGATGAAATTTTAATTTCCATTTCGATTTTTTTTATACTGTAAAACTGTAAAAAAATAAAATCTTCACAAACAGGATAGGACACAGAGAAATCTCCAGAGAAAGCATGGAGTAGAAAGCGCTACAAATTTTTTTGGCGCTATATAAATGCCGATAATAATAATAAAAAGTACTGCATGAACTATATGGATTGGGGGGGGGGGGTCTAAGGAATCCTTCCTATGGGTCTCATGATACAAGCCTGCAGGTGGGCTACAACGTATTTGGGCCTTTAAGTTGTTAATCAGAGCTCAGATCAGACACATCACAGCATGTACCAAAGGTACCTTAGGTGTACCACCCAGCATTGGGAGATATGAGATCAGACCTGTTTGAACGGTCCCAGTGTGCTTCATCAGTGAAGCAATTTGTGACGGTTGGCACTAGTGATGTCGCGAACATAAAATTTTCGGTTCGCGAACGCGAATTTCTGCAAATGTTCTTGAACTGGCGAATCCGGTGAACCGCCATAGACTTCAATAGGCAGGCGAATAGGCAGGACCTAAGGTCCTCCCCCCTGGCCCCCACCCTTGAGCGGTGGGTGGGGGCCCTAAATACTAAAAAAGGGGTGGTACCTAAGGTCCTCCCCTCTGGCCCCCACCCCTGAGCGGCGGGTGAGGGCCCTAAATACTAAAAAGGGGGGGGGACCTAAGGTCCTCCCCCCTGACCCCCACCCCTGAGCGGCGGGTGGGGGCCCTAAATACTAAAAAGGGGAGGGACCTAAGGTCCTCCCCCCTGGCCCCCACCCCTGAGCGGCGGGCGGGGACCCTAAATACTAAATACTTAAAAGGGGGGGGACCTAAGATCCTCCTCCATGGCCCCCACCCCTGAGCGGTGGGTGGGGGCCCTAAATACTAATAAGGGGGGGGGACCAATCAGAGTGTTATGAGTCAAATTACACAGCGTGGGAAAATTCCAAAGAACTTTCCCACGCTGTGTAAAATGACACAGAGCACTCTGGATTTCAAACCAACCAATCAGAGTGCTGTGACCGGTAAATGTAGAGACTTACCTGTCAGTCTCTTCATTTACCTGTCAGAGCACTCTGATTGGATGGCTTAAACCCACCAATCAGAGTGCTCTGAGCCTAATTGCAGGGTGGGGCAAGGCTTTATAAGCCTTCCCCCGCCCTGCAGAGCTCAGTCTGCGCGGAGCCCTCACCGGGTGAAGATGGATTATTTTTTTTTTGCGCTCGTTTTTTTTTTTTTTTTTAATTGCGTCGGTTATTATGGTTTTTTATTTGGCCTTTTTTGGGGCTGAAAAAAGAAGATTTTAGAAGAAAGAAAACATCGAATGGTAAGTTTTTTTTTTTTTCTTTACAGGTTCTTAGTTAAAGGTCCCCCCCTCATTATTTTTAGGGTGGGGGGGTAGGTAGGGGGATACTTTTTTTGGGGGGAGGGAGGGGGAGACTAGGGGTTTGGGGACCCCTAGTCACCTGGGGGGGACATTTTTTTTAGGGCCCCCACCCGCGCTCAGGGGTGGGGGCCAGGGGGGTGGACATTAGGCCCCCCCTTATTTTTGTTTAGGGCCCCCACCCACTGCTCAGGGGTGGGGGCCAGGGGGGAGGACATTAAGTCCCCCCCCAATTTGTGTTTAGGGCCCCCACCCACCGCTCAGGGGTGGGGGCCAGGGGGGAGGACATTAGGTCCTCCCCCTTACTTTTGTTTAGGGCCCCCACCCACCGCTCAGGGGTGGGGGCCAGGGGGAAGGACATTAGGTCCCCCCCCAATTTGTGTTTAGGGCCCCCATCCACCGCTCAGGGGTGGGGGCCAGGGGGGAGGACATTAGGTCCCCCCCAATTTGTGTTTAGGGCCCCCACCCACGGCTCAGGGATAGGGGCCAGGGGGGAGGACATTAGGTCCTCCCCCTTACTTTTGTTTAGGGCCCCCACCCACCGCTCAGGGGTGGGGGCCAGGGGGAAGGACATTAGGTCCCCCCCCCAATTTGTGTTTAGGGCCCCCATCCACCGCTCAGGGGTGGGGGCCAGGGGGGAGGACATTAGGTCCCCCCCAATTTGTGTTTAGGGCCCCCACCCACCGCTCAGGGGTGGGGAACAAGGGGGAGGACATTAGGTCCCCCCAATTTGTGTTTAGGGCCCCCACCCACCGCTCAGGGGTGGGGGCCAGGGGGGAGGACATTAGGTCCTCCCCCCTTACTTTTGTTTAGGGCCCCCACCCAACGCTCAGGGGTGGGGGCCAGGGGGAAGAACATTAGGTCCCCCCCCAATTTGTGTTTAGGGCCCCCACCCACCGCTCAGGGGGCGGACCGAACATCGCATATTCACCAGCGAACCGTTCGGGACATCACTAGTTGGCACCCATAATGGACAGGCCGCGCACTGTAAAGGGGTGAATGCATTGCTCCCAAATGTTCCTATTTAGGAGGGGCACTCCCTATTTTGTCCCAAATGCCTCTGTTCATCTTTTCTGTCTAATGTCCCTAATTTTCTGGAAACGCCATAATGATTTTTATGTGAATGTATAACAGTGCTTCACAGCAATGATACTCACTGTGATGTGTCTTTAAACTAGAATAAAGACATTTAGAAATCAGTTTGTGTAAATAAGATTAAAGTGTCCCTCTTTGTCCATTTGAAATGTTGGGAGACGTGCGGTTCCACCCTCTGAAAGTGTGTGTCAGCCTAGCGTCAATGCTCATTAGATTGACTGACAGCCTCCAGGCAAAGGTACATACACAGCACATGGCTGAAGTACTTCCTGCATAGTCCTACTGCCCACCACACAGCACAAGCGCACCTAGTGATTTGCTAGCACTGTGCTGCCTAGGAATAGTCCCCTGGTGTACCCAGAGGTGGGAGACTAGGGAACAAAATCAGGATGGCCGTTAAGGCTCCTTAAATAGGGACTGTCCTGCCAAAATTGGGACAGTTGGCAGGTCCTGCCTTTGTATTATGGCAATGTTTCTTACGATGATCAGTCAGACCAGGGAGGATATCTGTGCCTGTCAGGTTGATTGCAATGACTACAGTAGTTATTATTTCAATGAAGCAGCCGATCACAAATTAAACATCAGATAGCTTGGGCCTATTGCAATGTATGGACCTGGAGCTTCCTCTCTAATAGACCCTATGTTAATCTTGCTCCATAGATAGAGTTTTACTTCCTAACATTGAACATATACAACCTGCAGTACAATTTTTACATTTCAAGTTTTACATTTTCTCCACCTTCTACAACATAAAAAAATCCAAAAACTCTTCTATTTATCTATCTGTCCATATATATCACATGCACTTTTAAAGTACTGGTGCTTCAGCTGGGATGTTTAAAGGAAAGGAACGTTCCTCACAAACTCTGGGCATGACAGCACCTGCTGGTTTACTGAGAAGACATTCCAAAGACTATGTGGCATGTGGTGGTGATTGTGACCCAGATTTGAAATGTAAGTGTCAGAGTTAATCATACAGTTAAGAAAACATTTGAATACACTTAAAAGAGACAGAAGGATCAGTTCACCCACGCAGAGTGATAATGAATGTGCAGATCAGGGTCAGTGCCGAACGTACTGTCATTCGTTATGTGTTTATAATGTACAAGGTGATGTAGTTCTATACACCAACAGTTATAGTTCCAGCTGAGCTAAACTGATTTAGATTTGGGCTTTGTTTTTTTTAAAGGGGGGTTTGTGTGTGAAAACAGGTTGGAGAATATCAGAAATACAGTCAGTGCTTTTCATAACTAGAAAATAAATGCAAGAGATTTTACCAGAAATAGATGTATTTTCAAAAACAAGGAAGTGCAGAAATAAAAAGTAAGAAGTAAAAGATGGTAAAGATGGTCACACGGATATAGAATGGACAGTTTCATGGGGAATTTTCCCAAATGCACAATACATAAAATTATGGAAGACGGGAGCGGGGACGGACCGCTGAGCTGAGTGGACGCACGTTAGAGAAGCTCCTGCTCTGCAGGACTGAAATAGCGGCATTTTGGCAAAACAAAACTTATAAGAGACACATAAGGGCGACCTGGAAAGAGGTGACCACACAGAGACCATGCTGGTACCAAATATGCTGACCTTTCTGAGTAAACACGCCCGGCGGCCTACAAGCAAAGCTGGTGCAAGGAAGACAGCCGCTTTCCTAATGCCACATAAAACAATGAACCCAACTGATGGCCTCCTTTCCCCCCTATGGACCGGTGGGGGTTATCCCAGTCCCAGGGGAACGTCCTCATGCCCCATGGCAGAGAAATCAACTGAGACCTACTGCCCCTAAAATGGCAGAGATCACCCACAAGCCCACCAAGAGCACACAGCCACGCTCTATTGCCCAACGGCTAGACAAAATTTTTGCTGCCTTTTTGCGCCGCATAGAGTAGCAACAGAGGGGCTTTCCCATGGCCCCTCAACAAACTATACCTACTGTCAAACGTCTGATGGTTCCTGCTGTGCGGCCAAAGAGGAATAGGCCAGGCAATCAGGTCCTAAGCAGAAGGCCCACTGCAATAGAGGCTGTCATGCGGAATGTTCCTGCAGCAAGGGGGACTGTGGCTGCCAAGCCAGGGACTATCCAACTGCCCGGAACTTCTCACTCTACCGCACTGGCGGTGGCAGCGAGCCAATGTGGCCAAGACCCCGGCGTAAGATTCTACTTGCCTTACTGGGCACTGCCAGGCTCTGGCCTTTGAAGGCTCCCACGCACAGTTCCAGCAGCTCTGCAGATCAGGCATCGGCTGACCTCCCACTAGCAATGGGGGCTTCCCCTGACATGTCCCTGAGCTATTAAGCCTGTCTGATCTATGATGCCTGCTGTATTAACCTTACGTCTTAAACGGAAATGCAGCATAGTGATGTATTTAATCTTAATGGATAAATTACTCATCAATTTTAACCGAGCTTGTTTAACAAAATGTATGCTATTTACCATACATGCTTAGAATTATCCTTGTGCCATTTTTGTTTGTTAGCACTTACACATGTCTGACATATATGCTTTACCCAACTTTACATTTTAAAAAGAATGCACAGCTTTTCCTGATACATTGTGCGATGTATTTTAGTTTTTATTGGTGTTGTTTTAGCACCATGTATCACTGTCACTACATATTTGTCTCATTGCGCATCAAGAATAAAAAAAATAAATAAAAATTATCGAACACTTACAAGAGATTTGGCAGAGTCTATGCCAAAAGACATTGGGGACATAGTTTAGTTGTAGATTTTTTATTTATTTTTTCCATTTTTTTAAATTTCACTATTTACTGTTTAGTAATTAAACCCCACTGTTAGCAGTATTCATGCAGATGTTTATAACAAGTCAGTATAGTCTGAAACTCTGAATGATGGAAAGATACAGAATCTATCGTGAAAATACATTACATTGTTGCCCCAGAAAAAGACAGAGTCCTTGTGGGACTTACACCCTAAAGCAACACAATTGCACTTTATGTCTCCTCCAATATCATTCCTCCCAAAATTGGAAGGTTTGAGATCAGAATTGGTGGGTGGACCCAGAGGGATATTGCCAGTTACGCGACTCATCTGGTAAACAGTCCCGTTGATTAAAGGGGCTTATCTGGCCAGCACCCAACCTTAACTGTACCCTCACTCTCAGCCAACCACTGCCATTCAGATTTGACAAATTGATACTGGTAATGTGGAACTGAGAAAAGTACAGTTTATAGCACTTCCACATGAAATTGGGGGACATCGCCAAGACGCTATATGCAACATGTATTGTATCAAGGGCATCCTTAATCAGCTTCTTTTTAAACAACATTTAGATTATTTTTTGGAAAACAGAATATTTAAGGAAATATGTGAGGTTACTGCATGTAACTTCAGTCTCTTAACAAAAATATCATTAACCCAGAGCACATGTTTTAAAACTTGCCAACCTGAAACATTGCTTGTTCTGCCTCTAAAATACTTCATCTGTATTAAATGGGCACACCGGACCCCTAAAGCACGTGAAGAGTGTGTCTCTCTTTTTTCATTTAGCCACAAAGTACTAAATCCCAACAAGTTTTGGCCCTAGGGATTGTCCCTTTAAAAAAACAAAAAAACTATATATATATTTTACCTGACTAACCACATTATACCTAATCTCACCCCAAGAAAACTAGTTATTGCCTGCCATGGAGTGAAATCAAAATCAGCGCAAGCAAATCTCTCAAGGCTGCATAAAGGCACATATCAAAAGTAAAATTAAAAGGAACAAGCACACTAAAAAAGCTGCACCACTAATAAAATGGCTTTTAGAACTACAACAAAGAATGATTACTCCTGAGTCAGTTCAGAACCAGTGCACCTGAAATACATTTTACAGGGTATTACTAACCAGAACTAAGCATACAAAACACAATAATGAGCACACTCCGAGGAAGGCAATCAGTTTTCAGAAGACAAAACAATGCAAAAATACACAATGGTGCTTGATTGCAGTAAGAAAAATTTTGCAACTTTGGCAGGATATCTGTTAAGATGTAGCAAGCCCCAGGGTTATATGAAGTTCTAATACCCCCAGTAGACTTGGAGTGACAGCGGAGACAGTTTCTACCACCTTAACTAACAGACATCCATGCAGATTTTTGTTTAACCCCTTAAGGACCAAACTTCTGGAATAAAAGGGAATCATGACATGTCACACATGTCATGTGTCCTTAAGGGGTTAATATTGTATTAACTATCCACTGACTTCAGGTGGAAGGGGTTTTCAATCACAATTTCCCCCCACCATAACCTTTTTGTTTTTTGCCTCGCAAGTACTGCCAAGCCTCAGTAGCCAGCCAGTAACCAACCTCATGCTGATGAGTTGCATTAACAACGAAACAGCTGTCCATGAGTGGTTCACTGGCTTTGCATCTTTTCCTAAGTTGTGTTTCAAAGCTGTTGTATACAGCAAACACAGACTCAAAGGAATCAATGTTTAAAATGGAATGAGGTAAAAATTAGATTCTTTATTAAACTAATTTGCATATTACCACCCAGAATCCTTTGGGGTAGTAACATCACTGCAAATTTGTGATTCCTGTGGGATAAGCAAGTCTTATGGCTTGACTGGTGTACAGATTTTTGTTTAACATTATATTAACTATACATATATATTTATACGCTCGGCTGAGTACAAAAATGGTTTGATGCCTGGGTGCTAAACCAGCATCAAAATATAAACAATTAGAAAAAAGGGGTGCACTCACAGGATTTCAAAGTAGATATGTGATTTTAATTAGAAAAATAGAAACAATTACATCTGCATCAAATGAACGTTTCGACCCTCAAGGGGTCTTTCTCAGGTTGCCAAGTTTTCTCAAGAGAAAGACCCCTTGAGGATCGAAATGTCGATTTGATGCAGATGTAATTGTTTATATTTTTCTAATTAACCCCTTAAAACCGGAGGACGTACAATTACGCCCTCTAATAGGCGGCTCTAAACGCCGCCGGGCGTAATTGTACGCCCTCCGGTTTTTGTTAACTTACCCGGTCGCCGGCGGTCCCACGCCGGCGATCGCGGTTGGGGGGACTCCCAGGGAGCCCCCCACGGCACATCCGTCCTCGTTGAAGCCCCCGGCCATGTGAGAGTGGGGTCCTAGCGAGGACCCCACAATCACATGGCCGGGTATAGCTGGCTTCTGTATTGCCGGCAGGGGGACTGCCTGTAATGACAGGTGGTCCCCCTGCTGGCTGAAAATAAAAGTAAAATAAGTTAATGGTGTAAAAAAAAATTATTATATATACTTAGATCATATATATATATTATATATATATGATCTAAGTATATATATACACATATACATACACACACATACACCGTCTAGGTGTATTTTACTATTAATATATATATAATTATATATATATATTAATATCAAATTACACATAGACTGATACTGATTAAATATATATATAATTATTGTTATATATATATTTATATATAATATAAAAAAAATAAAAATGTAAATACGTTAAAAAATAAAATTAAAAAAATAATTAAAAATAAATAATTAAAAATATATAGATGTGTGTTATTTCGTTCTAACTGTTTTGTGAAATTAATATATATATATATATATATATCAAAATACACGTAGAACGAAATATATATATATCTATATACATAAATATATACGTATATATCACTATATATATACCTATATATAAATAAAAATATTTTTAAAAAATTATATAGATATATACATATATATACACATACGTATATATATATACATATATTAATTCTACATATATATTTATGTAATATTTTTACATAATTAGGTATCTTAATTAATTACAATTAGCAGGACCTGCCTGACAACCCATGCCGAAAGTAAAGGGAATTTAATTTGCTAGCACTATATTTAACCCTATAACTTTCCAAGACACCATAAAACCTGTACATGGGGGGTACTGTTCTACTCGGGAGACTTCGCTGAACACAAATATTAGTGTTTCAAAACAGTAAAATGTATTACAACGATGATATCGCCAGTAAAAGTGAAGTTTTTGCATTTTTCACGCACAAACAGCACTTACACGGACGATATTATTGCTGCGATACTTTTTACTGTTTTGAAACACAAATATTTGTGTTCAGCGAAGTCTCCCGAGTACAACAGTACCCCTCATGTACAGGTTTTATGGTGTTTTCAAAAGTTACAGCGTCAAATATAAGGCTTGCGTTTCAGTTTTTTCACATTAAAATTCGCCAGATTGGTTACGTTGCCTTTGAGACCCTATGGTAGCCCAAGAATGAAAATTACCCCTATGATGGCATACCATTTGCAATAGTAGACAACCCAAGGTATTGCAAACAGGGTATGTCCAGTCTTTTTTAGTAGCCACTTAGTCACAAACACTGGCCAAAATTGGCGTTTTTTGCATTTTTCACACACAAACAAATACTAACGCTAACTTTGGCCAGTGTTTGTGACGAAATGGCTACTAAAAAAGACTGGACATACCCCATTTGCAATACCTTGGGTTGTCTACTATTGCAAATGGTATGCCATTATGGGTGTAAATTTCATTCCCGGGCTACTATACAGTCTCAAAGGCAACGTAACCAATCTGGCGAATTTCAATTTCAAATGTAACGTGCTATATTTGACCCTGTAACTTCCCAAAACGCCATAAAACCTGTACATAGGGGGTACTGTCTTACACGTGAGACTTTACTAAATACAAATATGTGTATTTTATTGCAGTAAAATCAAACAGTATTATGACACTGACCTTTAAAATGCAATTTAGAACTAAAAAAATCAAAAAATTCGTATTTTCTCCCATTTTTTTCATATTAAATTATGTTTCATAGCTAAATATTTGATATTAAATGAAAGCCCTGTTTCCCCTGAATAAAATGATATATAATAAGGGTGGGTGCATTTACTATGAAAGAGGTGTATTACGGTTGGACAGACATGTAGCGCAAATGCCAGGTTTTGTTTACATTTTGTTTTGTTCACAATGTGTACATTTGGCTCCGTCCTTAAGGGGTTAAAATCACATATCCACTTTGAAATCCTGTGAGTGCACCCCTGTTTTCTAATTGTTTGTATGTATATATATATATATATATATATATATAGATAGATAGATTTTCTCTCCCCTCCTGGGTGGTATGTTTATTCCTCATTCTCGGGTCCTCTACCAGAAGCCTGGGAGTTTGAGGGTTCTGTGCAGTATCTTAGCTGTTCCTAGAACTGCACTCCTCTGGACAGCAATCTCACATGGAATCAGTTGAAGCCACTCCCCCAACTTGGGATTCGCAGCCCTGAGTGCTCCTATCACAACTGGTACTACTACTGCCTTCACTTTCCACACCCTTTCTAGTTCTTCTTTCAGTCCTTGGTATTTCTCCACCTTCTCATGTTCCTTCTTCCTGATGTTATAGTCACTGGGTATTGCCACATCCACCACCACTGCAGTCTTACGTTCCTTGTCTACCACCACAATGGCCAGCACTTCCTTGTCTGTCGGAATCTTAAAGTCCCACAGAATTGTAGCCCTGTCATTCTCAACTACCCTTTGTGGTATCTCACATCTGGACTTAGGCAGGTCCAATCCATATTCTGTGCAGATGTTTCGGTACACAATCCTAGCAACTTGGTTGTGTCTCTCCGTGTATGTTCCTGCTAACATCTTGCATCCGGCTACTCGGTGCTGGACTGTCTCAGAGGCCTCTTTGCACAGTCAGCACCTTGGGTCTTGCCTGGGTGGTATACTCCAACTTCTATTGATCTGGTGGAATATATATATATATATATATATATATATATATATACATATATATATATAAATGTATCTTGTTTTTTTTTTTCAGAGGGCATATTTATTTTCTGGATTTTGGGGGAGGTGGGTGTCTGAGAATTTGCACCTACAGGTATCTAAGATGTAAATCTAGCTCTGACTTTACACTGTATAACATAGACTTTCAGATCCATCACTTAACCTCTGCTTAATCTCACAGACTGTGTTTCTGCGCACAATATGTCTCAGCAAAGCATGTCTTTCATGCCTGTGAGTTAAAACCAATTTCATCTTTTTTATTCTGCATGAAAATTCCATATGAGGTTGTGTTATCTATTTCTCCCTGTGAAGTCTGTGTCAGGCAAGTTGATGCATAGCCTCTGTTGCAGCATACAGTATATTACGTAAATCCTAGTCATCTCTCACAATTATCTCGAATTCACTGCACCGTTCTGCAAAGTCTCACGCTTTCACCTTTAACATACTGTTAGTTTTAGCATTGATTTCTATAACACCAACATGATCTGCAGCTCTGGATAATGGAGTTAAGGGAATGTAGTCTGACCGCAAAACCCCACATTGTAAATTTCTATGAAAAGCTTACAATCTTAAAACGGGATGAGACACTATATAATCTCCTACAATACTGATAGTATGTATTCTGTTTACATCAGATGCAATAGGAAAATACATAGAAAATTGCAGCATAATACACATTTAGTTTTCTACGCAAAAATAAATAATTATTTGTCCGACAATTATCAAGAAATGACTAGGGAAGTATACATTTTATGAGTTGGAAAAAGAAAAATCAGTTGACTAGATTTTCCTCTTCAGATATCTTGGCCTAAATTTGTACTTCCCTGGTCTATTTCTATTTTACTGAATAACCCTGAATTTGTAGCACTTTATGATTTGACTATAGTTACAAGTAAATATTATTTTAAACTTTAAAGTAAACCTGTCATGATAGGTTCATTTTAATGGAAATCACCCCATAGGCATTAAATATATAATTTATCATAGCGATAAATTATATATTCAATGTGAACTACTTAAATATTACATTACTTAATAGAGAGTCACTATAGCAACCATAGCATCTGAGATATGTGGGAAAACAGATGAACTGTCTGTGGCAGGGTTCTCCTGCTCTATCTGTCACTCGGTATTTTGGCTTAGAAGTCTATGCCAACACTATACGAAATCATTTATAGACAGGAAGGGAAGACACTGGATTTTTACATTTTTTGCCAATCTTTATTTAGAATTTTCAACAACAAATTAGAAAGAAGAATACAAGAGCTGTTATTGTTAGTGATAAGGTCCAGGATACAATCAAATTCCATACTAAAGTCACATCTGTAAAATGGTAATAGTAATTGTAATAAAGTATGGCCCATCTCACTACTTTTTCATCAGTGCATTCAGTCGAATAGCACCCATAAACCCCTGCCAGTCATGAACACATGAAACTGCTACTAAAGTTTTACGGGTCTGCCGATATTTAACAAGACTATATCGGCCTCGAGAGTAGCCTTTAAAACCGAGGACCAGTGTGCTCCCCGTCGCTGCTAGTAAAGCACAGTAAATGAAGGGAAGTCTGGAACCTGAGAAGAAAGGAAGGAGGTATGGAAAAAGGGAGGAGGGAGACGAGAGAGAGAGCACTGGATTTTAATTAAGTATTTTTCCCAATTTCCCAACTCTGCTAGCATAATCCAAAGATGGAATTTTAATTTAGTATTAAATTAATGTTGTGTGTACCATTACAGGTACACTGTAAATGGATTTTGTATTGGCATTCAAAAATAGGTGGGCTTGGTGTGTCCCTAAGAAATAAACTATTTATCTTCTTGACACCCATTTAGATGTCTTTCTACATATTTGAATTATTTTCAGTAGCTCTTTTTCTGTCTGAAGATCTAAAGGATTAAAATTGAGTGTATTGGTGTAAACACCTGGTTATCACTGAGCATTAAAGGAACACCATAGCGTAAGAAATACAAATCTGTATTCCGAACTATATAGTCTTCCTGTCTCTACACTTATTCAGGTCACCCTCAGGTGCATTAAAATGTAAAAAAAAAATTAGATTACTAGAATTAA